GTCATAGCACGATGCATGGTAGGTAGGAAAACGAGACGAGGAGGGTCGTTTTTCTAACCACATATCGGATTACTGGCCTCGGATTTTAGTTGTGGGAGTTGCTATTTTTCTTTCTTATAACTAGCAACTGCTTGAGTAGTGGTTCACGCGGTGAAACCGAGGTGGGCATGTGAGAAGCATGATCTCGGCCGTCTACACCGGTCCCTGACTCCTAGAAGATGTAGAGCATAGCTTAGGACTTCAAATTAGCAAATCAAAATCGTCAAAGAAAGCAAGCATCCTGGAACACTTGTAAACTGGATCTTGACAAGGCTTCATCTCATGTGGCTGCGTTTAAGTCACGTAAAGCCTTAGATTTCCGGCATTTTCAATTAAAATCAAACTATGCCACTCCTTCGGCGTATCTCTATTGCATTAAGAAACAAGACGAAGATATGTACCACTGGAGTGGCCGCTTTGAACTCTAAGTATTCAAATTTGGCGAAAGTATCAACAAGGGCTCGTGGTTTAGTGGTATAATACTCCCTTAGCAGATTCATTTGTGGGAGTGGTCCGGGGTTCGATTCCCCGCGAGTCCACATACACAACCCTTTTACCGACTGTCGGTGCCCATCTTACACTTTCTTATCCTATTAACCGCGAAATTCTTGCATGAATGTTAAAAAAATAGGCAAACGATTTTTTGAGCGATTACAAGTTATTTTTTTTTATAAAAAAAGGAGGGCAAAACTGAACAACAGTGCGCGCTGTCCTCTACGAAGTTGGGAGTGAAATGTTCACCCAGAGCCGAGTTCAAACTATTTACCTCACTATCTACAAGAAAATATTGGGAATTAAAATGGTTGAATTTATTAAAATTTGTTAGTCTCTTTCATGTAGAAACTACAAGTCCTATAGTTATAGACTCAGATAGGATTATAATAAAATCTAATCTAATCAGTCAAACTTCGCAATATCAAAGAAGTTGGCCCACGAGGCAAAATTTCAAATTACTCCATCACGTCAATTCTTCGCTCCCAATGAGTTTGACGCCTATCTAAGCCTCATCAAGTCTACAAGTACGAGCAAGTACATCCTCATCCCATTGAACACACCTCTTGTTGACTTTCTCTCGCCTCAGCTGGTCACTAAACACATGCCCACGCCGATAATTACACACGACGGAGGAAGCAAAGCGTGGCGCACAAATCTGGAAGACAGTTCTTTGGGATTAGCGTGAGAGGGTTCGGGAAAAGTTAACGAGATGATGCAGAGAATGGATTCAGTCTCGACGGGCATGAACTTTCGAATTTCGGCAAGGGGTTTTACAAATTGAGGTTTGTGCGCGCTAAGAATTCGCTTGCGAGAGTGCAGCTTACACTGTAAACACAAGCCAACGATGGAAGGTGCTGTAGTCCGCCTCCTAGTGGTGTTCTCCGGTATTGTTTTAGTAGCCTGGGCAGTTACTCCATTTGTGAAGGAGACATCTAAGATTACATTTCGCGCGGAGAAAAGTTGAAAGATGATGGAGGCATGTCTGGATAACTCAGGGTTTTTGAGACGTTTCTCTGGGTGAGTATTCACGGACGAGGGTTGACTTGGGGTGAAGAAAAAGCCACCATAACTTCGCTGTGGTACTTGCAAATGAAATCCGAGGCATGAGTGCTGTTCTTGTAAATTGAGCCATGTATTATATACATTAAACTGTGGATAGTTTGGGAGCGATCAATATAGAGTTTAAGGTGTTAGATTTACAAAGCTTGGAGTTACTTGTTTCGGACAAAGGTGTTTCGCTTGGGCTGTAGCAATAAGAACTCTATATATTCTCACTACAGATGTTTCGTTCCAAACCATGAGAAACTCGGTTCATGGGGACAAGTTGGGGACAGATAGAGCACTTGCCTTTTTCTAGACGTACATAATCTAGATAGTATCAGAAAGAGAAATAGCAGCCAGAAATTAATTGACCTTTTTTACTTTATTTAATTGACTCGTAGAGTCTAACAATATAACTCTCTGATATTGTGTCATAGCTAGATAGCTGCATACGCAATTAAAATCTGATGCAAAAAAAAAGTGCAGCATTGCCGAAGAGAGAGGAAAGAGAGATATAAGATGTGGAAGCAGGTGAGAGAAGAGAAAGGCTCAATTAGTAATGAAAGGAATAATGCTCTGGTCTTTGTAAATAGAATGGCAGCAGTTGGACTGCGAAAGCTTTTTAGAGGAAGCAGAAGTAGGTAAAAGGGAACAGGAAGGAGGGGTATTTCCGAGTAGGAGTTTCTTGAGCAATGAGTAAATAGACGCGACAGTGGTTCAGAAGTGCGGAAGGAAGTAGGCCTGCTCCTACAAGAGCCAAAGCCCAAATACCCGGCTGACTTTACGAGGGGCCATGCGTCAAATGTGTGGAAAGAAGGGACCGGGAGAACGCCTTTGTGAAGGAGGGCAGTTATTTTCATTATACTCGTTCACAGGCGGCCAGTTGTGGCACGGCTAGTAGAGACTGGATCCACTACAAATGATTTAGAGAAAAAACAAAGCTCCAGTGCGGCCGGGCCGGATCAGGTTGAGTACTGTGAAATACAAGTATGTCTCGTCTCACTTAAATGACCGAAATCACGCCGGAATGCATCCGTGTATTGCATCGTGGCGACTCCAGTTGCCCAGAGTAAAACCATAAAGATAGAAAACCTCCACGCGTAGTCCCGCATGACAAAAGAGAGACTTAAACAATGTACCTTCCATTGTTCTACCTGAGCCACTACGCGCCTAAACCCCTTTGCGTGTAAGTTTCATTTTTGATGCCATATTCAATAACTCCTGTCTCACAAAATGCCAGACATTGCCACTTTTCTGTTGCCTCGACTTTCCACCACGTATATTCCACTGCCCTGAACGTATTCCTCGAACAGTTATTACCCACTCCATCCCAGCATAGATTCCAGAGCCGGCGTCCTCCGCTTTTCAATCGCCACTTTGCCATTGATTATCTACACTGAACAAAATGTCCGTTTTATTTTTCTCTACCGCGCCCATGGCGAACTGCAGCGATGATATGCCGCGAAGTCTTCATGTCCGATTCAAGCGGCGATCAAGTTAGCGTAGACCGCTCTAGGGAGTACTAGTTCTGTCGATTTCTTGCGCTGCTTCTCGATTTTGAGGTCGACCTAGTGTTTTGGGCGCTTGGAGTTTCACCAGCTCGTCAACATTTATTATGATTGGTATATGATTTGGGAATGCACACTTGCGCAGGAACAGCTAAGACAGTATGTGGAGAGATGTCTTCATTAATGTGCAGAGGTGAAGTTCTATGATGATTATTATGTTTTAGATTGGGAAAAGCTCATCCCTTATCCCCTAGCTTGTTTGCTTGTAGACCGATCACGTTACCAGTATGCAGCTCACCAAAGTGTGCAAACAACTGAGCAGCCATTCCATTTATCCTATGTCAGCAACCCATCTCTCATACTGCACACATTACTACCTGTAATGTCGTTTTGTAGAGACTGGATCTCCTTCATGCGCCATGCTGCCATGCTACCATGCTGCCATAATAACTACCTATGCACCAGCTACTAGATCTACCATACTACATAGCTGAGCATAACAACATTTGCCTGGCCAATTTGCGAGCATTCCGTCCAGATGATGCTAGGCTTATTCGATGGTAAGTCGTCTCTGTATTATCCAACGGCTCGAGTTCTCTTCGAACAAACCTGTCAGTAATCTCAGCCCCTTCCGGTCCCGTATGAGCCTGCGTGTCTAAATATTTCTACTTGGGAGAAAATACTTCTTAGTCAACTAGTTGGTTAGGTAAAAACTGTCCCAGCCTCAGTATCTAGGCTACACACATTATTCAGCAACACCACCACACATAATATACTCTTCAGTTAACATATATCACCTTCCGTACATTGTGAACCTTGCAACTAATTCCTTAATATCTCAACACAAATCAGAAAACTTGAAATCTAGTGGAGGAATAAGCTGAATGAAAATAGCAGCAGGGGTATGTTACACTATCGACTCACTAGTATTTGAGGTATTGCGTGAGACTTATTGTCCACATTCTGTCAGCAGTCTTTGTTACCAATCTTTGGCATTCATAGCTGGGACTGAAAAGCCAAATTTCGATTATACTCAAGCAACTAGGTTTTCCTTTTACAACGATTAAATTACACTTAAAGGTTCCAAGAAATAGGGCCAGACTACTTTACAGTACACAATTTCTAGCGATTATTCTCTTTTAAGTTACTACTACTTTCGATTTGTCCAAAGATGAGATGGTAGAGTTAGTCAGAAGGGGGCTTAGGATGAGAAATGGACTGTTAGCTCTACACAAATCTGCAGGCTCTAGCTAGCCAGCTTATCCCACGGCTTCAGGATGGTAAACTTGGCCTTTAATTTAGGCCTAATAGCGATAAAAGAAGAGCTGCATTGTAGAAATATGGGATTACTCCCTATGGTTGTACATATAATGTTGAAATTTTTTTGGTAATATGTAAATGGAAGATAACCACAGGGAAATGACCAAATCAAATTTATAATAAAATGAAAAGCTGTGGAGTCGTCACCAACTGATAGGGGCCATGAGAGAAGCATGGACATTAGCTGTAGCTATGATGGACTTCTACATCTCACAATGATCTTCCATTAACCATGATCACAAGTAAATATAACGAAGTAGGTAGAAACTGTGCTTTGGACCCTGGTTACGGATCAATTGTGACTATGGAAACTGCCGAGCCCGGGCTTCAATGCCTCTTTACTCAGGCACAAAGAAACCATTATTAACTCGGCTAAATTTCGAGTCCCTTCAAATTTCACACCCACCAAACATTGAATTAAAATATACATCATTCGACAACTAGACGACAACCGCCACAGCATTCAAGGTAAGAGCCATATTTCCGCTCATCTTAACTCTCACCCGAATCCGTAGCTTTGCATATCTCTGGTATAACACTACAACGGCGATGAATTTTATCAGTAACTCACCGTGTCTGAGCTAACATTTTCGTCAGATGGGAGCCTTAAAATACGTCGAGGAATTGCAAAAGAAGAAGCAATCAGATGTCTTGCGCTTCCTTCTTCGAGTCAGGTGCTGGGAGGTAAGATGATTCGATCCTCCATTAGCAACATCGAAAAATATTATCTGTATTCACATTACCTTTCGGAGGCATTACAAATAAAATTTATCGTGGACATCATTTATGATGCTCCTTGCTATACACTCGTTGAACATTGGCTGAGAGTGCACAATATAGCTTCGACAATTGAACGTTGTTCACCGCGCCTCTCGTCCATCTCGTCCTGACAAGGCTCGTCGTCTCGGCTACAAGGCCAAACAAGGATATGTAATCTACCGTGTGCGTGTCCGAAGAGGTGGTCGCAAGCGCCCAGTTCCAAAGGGTGCTACATACGGTACAGTCCCGTAATCACAATAATCAGCAAATGAAACTAATCGAACTTTCAGGGAAACCAACCAACCAGGGAGTTAATCAATTAAAATACCAGCGATCTCTCAAATCAACTGCTGAAGAACGGGTTGGTCGCCGCTGCGCGAACTTGCGAGTCCTAAACTCCTACTGGATCAACCAGGACTCGACCTACAAATATTACGAAGTAATTCTTGTTGATCCTCAGCACAAGGCAATTCGTCGTGATCCCCGTATTAACTGGATCGTAAACCCAGTGCACAAGCATCGTGAATGCCGCGGTCTCACTGCAACCGGAAAAAGATCTCGTGGATTGGGCAAGGGTCACGGCTACAACAAGACCACAGCTGGTCGCAGGAAGACCTGGAAGAGGCACAACACCCTCAATCTACAAAGATACAGATAGAAATATTAACATTAGCTATCTTATCACTCATAAGAACATTGAAAGTGTTCAATCTAGAACAAATACTAACTGGCAAATCTGCAAGCACGGGATCAAACATACACTTGTGCACTGAATAGTGATCCAATGAATTGTTATGTAGCACTCGTAGATATTCCGCCGTAAAATTTGCTAAGTAAATGAAAATAAAGCACGATTGATCCCATTTTATCTTCCCCTAGCAACTTTTACGACCTAATAGAAGTGAAAAATGATGTTCAATTCTACTTCTGATTCTGGAGACGATTCTGATTCTAGTAACCATTTGCTTTTTCAGTGCACATGGTACACGTTATGGGAACCATAAATGTGTTGAATATTGCGACACAGTATTTCAGTTGCAGATTAAACCACCTGATGACATCTACTTTGTGATGAAAAGGTAAAAATTACAGGGCATCATAAAGTTATCGGTCAAAGGAACGTTAATATGTCCTAGGCTGAAAGTGAAGTCTCCCATACCCTATTAACAAACTTCTTGGCCTAATTTGCTCTTGATAGAATTTTACGTCTTGCAAATCCATTCAACGTAGTTATTTAACATGGATGATGGGAGGGAAGGACTGGATGTAACGATCAAATGATTGAAAATTGTTGATTCCAGCAACCGTAAATCCATTCTTAATAGTTTTTAGCATTAAACACCCCTCTGAATAAAACTTGTAATCAGCTACAGAGCCAAGACAACTTTTCAGTTCTATTTGAACGCGTTGGATGACTCTTCTGGCCTCAGAGACACTCATTCTCGGCACTTTGCAAAAACCACAATGAGGCTTGGTTGCTAATACAAACAGTCGAGCATCCTCTGTAAATACTCACCAAGGGATCGTTTTAAAACCTTTGACTATCCGAGTATGCCTTCGTCATTCATAGACACGAGCACCGTGGGAGACTATTCTCAGTACCTATCATTGGTTTCCTCTACAAACATCCACCTCTCACGGTAGAGTCTGCAGAGGCGAGATTGAGTGACAAAGTCCTCACTTCGACGAGGATTCTCAATCGCTTTTGCCGTCTCTATCTTCTTCATCAACCACTTCAACCCCCCTATCACCATTACTATGAAGATGACCACCATCTTGTCAAATGGTAGGGTCGGAGCCCTCCTCACCACCCTGTGGCCATGGAGTAAGATCCATCCGATGAGTTTCCGGAGCGTACCCAGCACCCGATACGGCGATAGTGGATTGGATCAAGTCGACCTCGACTGTTACAAAGAAGGGAGATATAGATGAATATGTGCACCTCATGTGGTCCCGGTGTCTAGGCCTCGCCTGGCTGGGGCTGCAGGTTTTTTGAAACTTTTTCCCGCGCACGCAGTTTCCACCTTTTTATATAATTTAGTGTGTATCCAGCAATATAGCTATGACACATGACCGGTGCTATGTATACATGTGGGATGACTCTTTTGACGTTAGAGACACTCATACTCTGGATTTCATTAGCAAATGCTAGTACGAGGTATGTTTGCTTACACAAACAGTCGACTCTCTTCCGTAAGTACTCACCAAAGGGAATTTCAAATCTTTGGTTATCCAAGCATGCCTTCGTCATCCATGCACACCAGCGCCGCGAGAAATGTGGTTGTGTTTTGCTGGATTTGAACCAGCGATCTACTGTGTCGAGTGGGATGTGTCCAAGCTGTCCAGACTCTACTCGGCAGACCGGCCAAGACGATGTACCACCGCACCATCCAACCATGGCAGTGTGTAAAGTGTTACCTGCACTCTAGCAACCGAAGCCTTGGCGCGCACAAAGCCCAATTCGTAAAATTCTTTGCCAAACTTCGGAATCTCACGCCCTTCGAGGTTATATCCTACCTTCGCATCATCTTGTAAACTTGTCCTAATCCCTCTCAAGTCCATCTCAAAGAAAAGCCTACCAGATTTGTGCGCCACGCTTTGTTTCCTCTGTCGGGTGTAAATATCGGCGTGGGCGTGTATCTGGCGACCTGCTGAGGCCAGAGAAAGTGGATAGGAGGTGTGGTCATTGGAATGAGGATGTACTAGGTCGTACTTGTAGAATTGATGAGGCTTAGGTAGGATTCGATCTCTTTGGGAGTGAAAAATTGACATGGTGGAGTATGTTAAATCATTGCCTCGTGGGCCAACTTCATTGGTATTGCGAAATTTGACTGAACTTGGCCCAGGGAGAATATTTCACTCCCAGGTTCGTAGAAGGTACCGCGTACAGGTGTTAAGTCTTACCTCCGAATCATTGCCCCGTGGGCCAACTTGCTCGGTATTGCGAAATTTGAGACATACCTCATTGTGGTTCGTGAGAATGAAATTTAGAGTATGAGTGTCCCTAACGTCAAATTAATCATCCAAAATGACTACATAGCATCAATCAAGTGTTGTAATTAGATTCATGAATAAACAATGTATAATTTAAAAAGCCGAAGTAGCTTAGCAATCCAAATCAGGAGCGAGTATATCTGGCTCAATTCTTATTTATAAGGAAGAAAAGTACTAGGAGTTTATCACCCAAGTTGCCCGTTTGGCTACTAATCACAAAATCCCAAGCACATGATCATGTCCTGCCCTACGTACGCCAGACGCGTCGACTTCGGGGGACAATGTCACATCACGATTTTACCCACAAGCTTCTCGGGCATAAGTGCCTCGAACACCTTACAAAATTTGCGCAGGAAACCGGCTGCTTCGGGGGCCCACCCGCGAGTTCGTCTCCAGCTCTCAGCGTAGACGGCAGTAACTAGATCATAAGCACGAAGCATGATAGGTAAGGAAAAAGAGACGAGAAGTGTCATTTTCCAACCACAAATAAGAGTGTAGTAAAATCCCTGTTAAGACGATGTAATTGGGGCCGTGAAAAATATCGTCTTATAGGGGATATCGTTGCTCCACAGAAATTCCCTTTTCTGGCGGCATTTCTAGCACCAATCCGGCAAAAAAAAAGCTGGTTAGGACGATATTCAGAGGTTAAAGAACGATAATCGTGTTATCGGTAAATGTATGGGAACGAAGTCCGTTCTGGAAAAATATCGTCTTAACGAGGATCGTCTTAACAGGGGTCTGACTGTATGAGATTTGAAATATTGGTTATGAGAGTTTTTGTGGGGTTTTATTTTCTTTCTTGTAACTAGCTACTTGTTGTGTAGTGGGTCACGCGGTGATACCGAGTCAGGCAGGTGGGAAGCATGATCAAGGCCGTGTGCACCGGGCCTTGACTACTAGGAGATGTAGAGCATAGCTTAGGACCAAAAAAAAAATGTCCTGCCCTAAGTGGTCAATCGGTAGAGGAGGAATCTGGAGACAAGCCCGAAATAGATCCTTCGAAGCAATGACCAACAATCCTAGCGATATGAAAAGAATCACACTGGTGTTCTCTGGTATAGTTTGAGTAGCATGGGCACCTACACCACTTGGGAAGGAGACACCTAAGACCATATTTCGCGCGGAGGAAAGTTGAAAGATGATGGAGGCATGTCTGGATAACTCGGGGTTTTTGAGACGTTCCCATGGGTGAGTATTCACGGATGAGGGTTGACTTGGGGTGAAGCAAAAGACACCATAACTTAGCTGTGGTAGTTGCAAATGAAATCTGAGGCATGAGTGCTCCTCTTGTAAATTGAGTCATCTTTTCTATACTTTTCTTTGATATTGTGTCATAGCTGGATAGCTGCATACGCAATTAAAATCTGATGCAAAAACAAGGAAAAAAGAAAAGAATCACACGATGGATTCTTAGTCATGGTTGGATAGAACAATTCCGTATGAGCAATAAAGTCTAAGTGCTGCTCAGTGAACGAGATGGAACATCTACAAGGTTGTGGTCGATAGAAGGGACGTGATTGGTACACATCAACGACGTTACAGTATAACTGTGGGTTAATAAGCTTGGTCAAAGCTCGACGGAGAGAGTATCCATCATGACGTCAAATATTATCACGTGTTCTAATGTTAACGATTACTCTTGTATAACTTATGTAGATGATGGAAGACGTAGAGGAACACATATACATTTTCGAATAACCAACCTGACATTTGTCGACCCTTGTGATATCACATTGTAAGACCTTCCAACACTGATCAGTGATTGCACAAGGCAATCACAGACTGGCAAGGAAGAAGAGACAGATCAATTCCTGAAGACCTCCCTGGCTTGACCATACTCTCGAGAAGGAATTTCTGTGCTACAGCCCTCAACGTTATTCAGACCTCCCTGGCTCGACCATACTCTCTGAAGACACGTAAGGAAGATCAAGGCTATAAATCAAGGCTTCTGATTCATTTCAAACTTTTGATTAAAGCCAAGATACGCGTCCTACCACGCAACTATCAGTTTTGTACAAATTATCTAATATAATGGCGAACGACACTCCCAAAGTCCCTGCAATTCCTACATGTACTCTAAATGATATCCTAACTGCAGGCACACTCAATATAAGCCCTGTCGCATGGCAGCAAATCGACCCGAGTCTCTGGTTTACCCCCGTCTCTGACAACCCGACTGAAGTTCATGTCACAACGTGGGTTGCACGGCAATTACAAGACTACACATATGGAAACTTGGTTGGAGATGATTTGTTCTATGCTTTTCAAGAGGACTTTGCAACCTGGACGGAAATGAATTTTGATAAGATAAATCAGCCATTTAAGAGAGAACTTAAGCTCCTCCTCCGCAAGCGAGGTATCTATACTGGCAAGAATAATGGTCCTATCGGACGACAACTTGCGAACTTGCTTAAAATAGAGTCATGCCCTGAATGGCCCGTGGATGAGCGTTGCCCAAACCCTCATGAAAGATTTGTCACATACAAACCGGAAGCAAAGCAAGAGGATACAAAAGTTTTGTTGCAAGGAACTTCTTTTCTTGATTCAAATGCCTCTCAACAGAAAGAAAAATTACAAGGATCAGTCACCTCGAACCTTTACAAAAATGAGCAACCACCTAGGCAATCACAAGCCGGAACGTCAACCATGTTACAGAATCCTTAC